AAGTTTTAAAATATCACACAATTAGTCAAATACAGCTTTTTATCTCAACAATAGCAGTTGGATAATCAATACTCAAATTAAAGGGCATATATCAAATAAGGCTCTAAAGGGCACTAAAAAAGGGGAGGATATGGCTCCTGCCTGCAAAGAATTTGCATTCCAATCTGATGTATGATTGTATTGTACCAATTCATATGCATTTTTCATTTTAGATTTCTGAAACAGAAGGTTATCCTTGTCTAAAGTAAGTTCTTGTTCTTCACAAGTTCTTTTATACTAAGGGAGAAAACCCAAAACTTTGGGTACAGAGCTCCCTAGAGATGAGATTACTACATTATATGAAAAATTTGAACCAAAAAAAAAGGGGGGGGATACTCTGAGTTTGCCCAGAGATTTTTGCTCTAGACTAAGGTTTCTCAATTTTGGTATTAATGATATTTGGGGGTCACATAATTCTTGTGAGAGCCCTGTCCTAAAACAGTGGGATGTTTAGCTGCATCCTTGGCCTCTACCCACTAGATGTCAGTAGTGCCCTCCTCCAGTTTTGACAACCGCAAGTGTCTCCAGACCTTGCCAAATGTTCCCTGAGGTCAGAAGTGCTCCCTCCTTTGAGAGCCACTGGTCTTGAAACTACCTTTGAGCATTCTATGTCTCTACAGCTGGGTACTTTTACCAAAAAATCTCCCCAAGGTTAAGATCTTGAACTTCCAGCTTTTGGCAGCCACCTCAGGGAGACAATTGTCTTCTCTGTAAGAGGAAACCAAAGACAAGCTTGTTTTTATGAAAAGTGCCGCGCCAGTCAGCCTGCCATGCACAGGGGGTTTGACTGGGCAGCAGCTGCCTTGTCACTCTCTCAAATCCTTAGGCTCATTCGCAGCGGTGGGGTGACATGCAGAGGGTCACTGGTGATGATTTATCTTGACTCAGATTTTGTCTGGTTTTCCCATTGGCAGAGAGCTGGACCACCCCGAATTATACTCGGGGGTTCTATCCATCATGCCTGGATGTCTCAAGAGCTCTCTTTGTGTCACAGGAAATCTGCTGAGATTTGTCAGGGACTCGCCACAAAGACCTGGTGCTTGTCTCTTTGGTAGAAAAATCACTATCAGTGATGTCATCAGTGCTCATGTGGGACAAAGTATGTATATACACGTGTACACCTTGATATACAATGTCATAGCATTCATGTGATGGACAGGACTCCAGGGACCTTAGCAATGCTAATATTCTACCCAGGTTTTGCAGGATGGCTGCCTAATCCTCCCAGCTGGCTCATGTAAGAGGTGAACTCAGCATATACGCTTACATGGGACAATATCATTCCTCTAGTGGGATCCCAGCTAGTAGGCCTCTCAATGACAGCCCTGATGTGCTTTCTCCCAGTGCACCCTCTCTGGGAGAGCATGGACCTGGTCCCAGGGGGCGAGCGCCAGTCACCCATCAATATCCGGTGGAGGGACAGTGTCTACGATCCTGACTTAAAACCACTTACCATCTCTTATGACCCAACTACCTGCCTCCACATCTGGAATAACGGGTACTCTTTCCTCGTGGAATTTGAAGATTCTACAGATAAATCAGGTGAGAGCCAGACCTGTGGTCTTGTCTGGAGTTAAAGGGACAGTGTGATGTCAGCATAGGCTACATCACACTGCTTCCATGGGAGCGTGGACCTCTTTGTTAGCAGTGGCAAGGGACTCATTGGACCTACTTTTTCAATGTATGGAAAAAGTCCCTTCGAGTTTTATGTACATTTTCTTCTAGTACAGGTAGTATTTTTTATTAATAAATATATATATGTATAGATTCTATAATTGATATAAAGGTAGGGTGAAAAAGTAAAGCTTTGCTGGAAATTTATTTTGTATACGTGTATTGAATATGTACTAATTTTCTCTGCTTACTGACTTTACAAGGCTCTTTTATATTAAATAGTAATATTATTTAATCAGATTTAACTGATGAGATTGCAATACCTTTGAAATGGAGCAAAAAGCATATTTATGAGTACATGCGGTTGCAGTCTCAATGAGTTAAGACTAGTCCTATTTTAGGAAAATGGAAGCTTATGTTCTGTTAATTTTATTTTTTTATTTAAAAATATTTAATATTTATTTATTATTGTATTGCTTAGTTATATATTTTTTTATTTTCAGGGGGAGGTAATTAGGTTTATTTATTTTAGAGGAGGTACTGGGGATTGAACCCAGGACCTCACACATGCTAAGCATGTGCTCTACCACTTGAGCTATACCCTTCACCTCTGTTGATTTCATTAATTAAATACTGTTACCTAGTTTTAAAGAAACACAGTTTAAAAGAGATTTTTAAGTTCAAATATTATTTGCTTTTGAATCTTCTCCGTTTTTCATCCTATCTAGATGTAAACTAATCTGAATATTTCCAAGTTTACCTGAAACTTCGAGTGTCTGTTGAAAACAGAATGTGATTAATTCTGTGCTGGTTTCTTTTTTCTTTTTTCAAACTAAATTTGATAGTATCACATAGTCTCAATTAGTCTGAAATAATTGTCTCCCTTTAGGGTTCTACCATTACTCCCGCCAGAACTAGACGATGGGCAGGCTCTGTCTGTAGAACACCAGCTCTCATAAGTTCACTCCGGATGCAGAGCAGTCCTGTTATCTAGTTAGTCTCAGTCCCGTCTAGGTCCCTGACAACGTTCTTTCTTTTCTTCTGAGGATCCTACATAATGGTCAGCCTTCTCATTTCTTTGACAGTCTAGGGACTATTTGTTGCCAATGTATTATTTCTTCATTGAGTTGGAAATCTTAGGAAGTTATTTAATCAGTTTCTTAACCAAGTGAGTTAATCCCCAAGATCATTCAAGACAAACAGTTTTTTGTTTTATTTTTTTAGTCACTTTTTTTTCTTTTGAATAATAGATTCAAGAGTTCTTATCCAACTATTGCCACAACATTGTAAAATGACTATAACTCAATAAAAAAAGTTTAAAAAATATAAACAAATAAACTGGATAATCCCTCAAAAAAAAAAAAAAGAATTCTTACCCAGCTATTTGCCTGGGCAATCGCATATGCAAAATAAATGGCCAATATTTTACTCCCAATAGCTCTTTAGATATATCCAAACACAACTAACTAAATCATTCCTTGATCTTACCTTCCCTAGGTGAGTCAGCTTCAGACTATTTTTACAAAATATGCAAGAAAAATTGCAGAGAGGTTGCTAATTTTCCACTTACTTTCTTAGGGAGGACCAAACAGATAGCCCCTTTTCATTTTGCTCCAATAATTATTTTCTTTAAGATACAATTAATCTTTAATAAGGAACTAACTTTCTCTGCCTCTTTTTCCACATTTCAGTGACTACCTATTTCCTGCTCATTCTTCTCTGCTATTTCTCCATGCTGTTGCAAAATAATCAATAGCATTCAAAGAGGAAGAAAGAGTAAATGAACATAAAAAATAAAGAAAAAGTTAAAAGAAAGACAATCCTAGATTTGAAGAAAGGCAAGAAACAATTCTAATTCCAGTAAAGAAAAGATCTAATAAATATCAATGTCTATACTTTTTTTTAAAAAGTAGGAAATGCTACAGTGTGCTTTACAAAGAGCTACGGATAAAGTGTACAAGGAAAGAGGCTGGGGAAGGTATGTGACAAAAACAAAACATACCAAACCTTATGGGGTACAGTTAAAGCAATGCCTAGAGGGAAATTTATAGATGAAAAAAACCTGTATCAAAAAAGGAAAAATTTCTCAAACCAAGAACCTAGGTTTCTACCTATAGAAACTAGAAAGAGAAGAGCAAACTAAACTCAAGGCAAATACAAAGAAAGACATAATAAAGAACAGAGCAGAAATCAATGGAAGCAAAAGTTGGTTCTTGGGAAGGATCAATAAAACTGACAAATCATTAGCTTGGTGGACCAACAGAAAAAATAAAAGAGAGAAGACTCAAATTACTAATATCAGGAATGAAAGAGGGGCCATCACAACCTGCTTTCCAGAAATGGAAAGGATATTAAGAGAAGGGATGTGAGCATGTCATACCAGTGCTCTCTGCTAGGTACTGTTTTGTCATTTGGCTCCCTGAAGAGGACACAGTTATTGATTTTAATGAGTGCATGTAAAGGATACAAAATACTGAGGAAGGGCACACTACATTATGCCTGGCCTGAGTCCCATGGATGATCCCTGTAAATCATCACCTCCTCTGGAATCTATCTCACTGGCAATGTCACCACGCAATAAAGACAAGAGATGGGTCCCATTGTTCTCCTAAGGGTGTGTCCTGCCCCACCCTGCTTCACCCTTCTATGGGGCATCACCAGTGAACCTAGTAAGAATGCTCTCACAGATATTTTAAGTTCTCCTTCCCTAGTTTTGGTCCTTTATTATTTATTTATTTATTTATTATTTATTTATTTATTTATTTATTTATTTAAAAAGAACTATGTAATGATTTTTAGTAAATTTACAGAGTGGTGCAACCATCACTACAATCCAATTTTAGAACGTTTCCATCACCCCAAGTTTCCCATCCATTTCCTCCATTTGCTTTTATTTCTATGGGTCCTATGTACTTACTACCTTTCCCTTCATCAGACCTGCCTCTGCTAGCTCCTTCATCTCCATATTCAAGGCAAAAGAAGGGAATGAATGTTGCCTAGACTGCTTACTAGAAGCCTGACTCTATGCTATTTTTTATTTAATTTTTTATAAGTTTAATTTTTGCCATCTTAAAGCACAAGAAGAACAAAATATCAGCAACCTCAAATAAACAAGTATATATTTCTTTGATACATCTTATGACTGATCTGCTCTCTAATCCACTGTCTCCCTACTGTGCCCTGTTTCTTGCCGACTCCAATTCCCCTCCTCATCCAGGCCTCTACCCAGCCTGATCCCACCCTTTTCCTTGCTCTTGCTGAGGTTACCAGTATGTTTCAGTTCACAAACCCCACAGACACTTTACAGTCTGTTTCTTTAGTTCCTGGTTTCATGGAGGATCTACTAAGTGCCAGGCACTGTACCCAGTGCTCAGAATAGAAAGAGGAAGAGGGGATGGGCCCTGCCTCTAAGGAGCTTACCGTGTGGTGGAGAAGCAGACCCTGGAAAACACGATGCTAGTGAAGAGAGCTAAGTGCTGTTGGGAGGAGGTTTCTTGGTGGAGGTGACACCTGGGCACTCCACATGGGGGTGGAGGTGTGAGGCAGTGTGATGCTCACATTAAGTATTAAAAGTGCAAGAAGAAACAAGTTTCTTCTGTATAGCAAAGGGAACTATATTCAATACCTTGCAGTAACCTAAAGTGGAAGAGAATAAGAAAATGAATATATCTATGTATATATATGACTGAAACTTTACACTGTACACCAGAAATTGACACATTGTAAACTGACTATACTTCAATTTTAAAAAAAAGTGCAAGAAGGAAGTAGCAGACAAGGAAGTCCTGAGTTAGGCAGGAGCTGATTCGCATAGAGTTCTAAAGACCATGTTCAGAGACCAGGAATCTGGATGCAGCTTAGCTGGGTACCTTTGCTCTAGGTCTCTCATTGGGCTGTGATTGGGGTCTTATCTCAAGGCTCTTCTGGCAAAGGATCATCTTCCAAACTCACTCAAGTGGCCGTTGGCAGGTTTCAGTTTCTCCCAAGGCTTCAGTTTCTTTCTAGCTGTTGGCCAGAGGCCACCCTCATTTCCTTGCCAAGTGGGCCTCTCCAGAGGGCAGCTCACAACACAGCAACTGGCCTCCTCAGAGCAAATAAGCAAGAGGAGTCAGAGAGGGCAAACAAGATGAAACCACTATCTTTTTGTAACGTAATCTCGAAAGTGACATCCTATTACGCTTGCCCTTAGATGCGAGTCATAAGGTCCAGTTCACACTCAGTGCAGGGGATAACACAAGAGTGTGAATACCAGGAGAAAGGATCATTGGGAGTCATCTTAGAAACCGCTAACACCCATGGCTAATGACACAAAGCCAGTTAATTCAAATTGAAGTTCTTTTCCTACAAAGTGCATGCTCTTAACCATATTGTACAGGAGAGTATCTCCCTGTGCGATCTCTCCCCTATGTACAACTTATATAGGCAGAGTGCCCAGCACACATAGAGACTTCATTTTCCTAACTAGCTAGTGCCCAAGACAGATGCCTGGGCATCTAACATTTCTCCAAGGGATCACAAATGCAGATGTACCTACAGTGCCAGAGAAGTAAGGAGAATGGGCCAGGGTGGGAGAGTATGAGAGAAATGGCAGCGGTGGCCACTGTGAAGTACTGGTGGGACCATCTGAAGGGGCGGCCACGTCTTCTACCCAGCCTGTTGTTGCCTGGTGGCAGCCAGTGCTCAACATGGACCAAGTATCTCACTCTCAGGTTGAAAACACTGATTTTTATGTGAGATCATCCAGCTTTAAATGTTGGCAGTGAACTGAAAAATATGTTTAGTATTATGTGGGTGAATCAAAACACAGCTGAAGGCCAGTTCGGCCCCCCTCCCTTGCACCACCCATTGGTGACATCTCCTCTTGGCCTTGTTCATCATCTTTGGAGGAGACACATAGTAAGTGTCCAGGAACTGCTGCCAGTGTTTTTCTGAGGATAGGAGGGAAATGCTGGCCCTCTCCTCTGCCCTAGTAACTTAACTTGGGACCAGAACTTCAATCTCATCCAACCAGTTAGACTGAGTATTTGCCAAAGTCATGCGCACAAAATGGAGCTGGCATAGAAAAATAAGAATTTTTTCGAAGATATTTATTTCAGTACATTTTAGTACCATTCTCTGATTAATTTAGTGAACATGCGGTATTATCCTTTGCACTTCCCCTGCCCCTCAAAGACAAGTGGTCATTGGTGTCTTTGCTCACCTTTTACAAAACTCCTATTTGTTAAGAAAGGAAATTGTGTAAAACATTTTTGAAAGCCAGTAAGATACATAGTAGACCACTGCATGCCACAGCCAGAGGTTTTGGTCCTTGGGATCACTGTACTCAATCATTTGCATATAGAAAATTCAACTAATAAGGCAATAAGCTCTTAGACCATTAAGATAGATGAGATGGAGGGTTTTTGTGTTGTTGTACTGGTTTAACCATGGACAGACATCGCCAGGGTCTGACTAGATGGAATAAGTGAGGAACTAATATGCTTTGGCAAATTCAAG